GATTCTCATAAGGAGCATACAACCTAGATCCTGCACATGTGCAGTTCACAGTAGGGTTTGTGCTCCTATGAGAATCTAATGCCACTGCTGATTTGACAGGAAGCAGAACTGAGGAGACAATGCGAATGATGGGAACCGGCTATAAATACAGATAAAACCTCACTTGCTCACCTGCCATTCAACTGCTGTGCTGTCTGATCTGTGGCCTGGGGGTCGGGGACCCCGGCTCTATGGAATCATTGGATTCAGGTTCAATTATGATTTGGGTTCCATAATGAGGACCACTTCCTAGGTGGGACTATGTATTTCATGTTGAATCAAAACATAAGGGACATAATATCTGATTTATACTGAAGTTGAAACTGAGTCAAGGGGGTGTTCTGGCAAAACCTGGTCCCATTGTATAAGAGTGAAGAAAGAAGCAAACAGATCCAAGATTGCGGAGTGCAATTTTGGGGGGACTTACTGACAAAAATTGTCCTCGGCAGCAGCAGGACCAGTGGATTCCCACAATTTGGGCCTGAAGAAGGAAGGCACATACAAATGAGTTGGGACAAAAATGACATCATCCAAGCCCTGATATTCCTGGCTTATCTCAAGCAAATATGAGATGTCAGGCCCATTCATCCCACTCGTGGTGCCAGGGTCCAGGTGTCCTGAAGCTCCATGTACCACTCTTAATGCTTTTGTCTGTTTATAGTTTGCTAGGAGAATTTTGGAGGAAAACTGACTATGGTTACTAAGTGGCAATCATGATGGTTAGGACTCAAGGTGTCTGCAATCAGTCGGGTCAAGCTGAAGCTCAACAGGCATCTTGTGGAATCTGCCCAGTCCCATCTTTGTGTAAACTTTCCGTTAGTCTTTCTAATGGTTTTAGTATCTGTTGATAATTACAGCTTAAATTCATTTTATTGTATTAGAAAGGGACATTTTAAATATTGCTTTATTCTGCATTTATTAAATGGAATTTTGTGAAGAATTTTGCACTGTGAACTTTTTGGTTATGCTGAAATAAAGGTTTTATGTGAAATGGAAGTAAACCGCTTGGCTATTTCTCTGTATTTATCATTTTGCAGAATAGTGAATTGGTACTTTCGCAATCCCCAAATGTGACTAATGAATTTTTCCCTCTAGGTATTGTTATAAACTCATAGGTGTCAATATGTAGACATCGTCCTTTCTCCCTCCAAAGGCAGGGTCTTGAATATAGTTCAGGTGGGCCGTGAATTCACTATGTGATCTAGGTTTGGCCTTGAATTTGAGATCCTCCTGCCTTAGCCTCCTGAGTGCAGGAATTGGAAGTATGTGCCACCTTTTTTTTTTGGTACCGGGGATTGAACTCAGGATCTTGCTCTTGTGAAGCAGGCAGTGGAACAACTGAGCTAAATCCCTGGCCCTTTTTTTTTTTTTTTTTTTAAATGTGGTACTGGGGATCAAACCCAGGGCTACATCCCTGGCTCCCAACACAGTGATTTTTCTTTTTCAGTTTATGACTCGTAAGTCAGTTAGTGCCCTCCTCGGCTCAGATTATCCTCGAGGCCCATGGGAGCCTTTGCAGGTAAGGCCCCTGTGTCTTGCATCTCACCAGCCACCCAGTTCTGTGGGTTCTGCCACCTGCCCTCTGCCCCCCTCACTGTCACTACCACGGTCCACGGATCTGCTTCCTTTTTAGTCATCCAGGAAAAGGTCAGCTAGCCAAAATTTGAACACACATACCTGATCCTGTCACTCTTTTCATTGAAGTTGTTATTCGTGTTATTGGCATAAATTCTAGTCCCTTGAACCTGGACTTGAGGGCCCACCTCCCTCCATCCCTGCCCATTGCCTCTGCTCCAGAGCTGCCACATCTTACCAAATGTCGGACCTGTGGCTCCTTCTCGCAGTCCTGCCCTCACTCTTGCCGTTGTCACACACATAGTTTTCTCCATCTGTGGCACCATCTGCCGTGGCTGACTCTCCTCATCCTAGGGCTTTGCTTAGGTCAGTGCTTTTCAACGCTGGATGCACATTGCTATAAGAAATACCAATGCCCAGTCGCCACCCAGGATCAATTAAAACCTGGATGTCTGGAGGTGAGACCTGAATGCTGTTTTTAAAACCTTGTACAGGGCTGGGAATGTAGCTCAGTGGCACAGCACCTGCCTGGGAAGTGTGAGACCCTGAGTTCAATTCCCAGTACCAAAAATAAAAAAATAAAAGCTTGTACAGGTCAGGTGCAGTGGTGCATACCTGTAATCCTAGCTACTGAGGAGGCTGAGGCAAGATAATCCCAAATTTGAGGCCAGTCTGGGCAACTTAGTGAGGTCTTGTCCCAAAATAAAAATGTGCTAGGGATGTAGCTCAGTGGTAAAGCAAATGTACAAGGTCCTGTGTTCAATTCTTAGTACCACAGAAGCAAACAAAAAACCCTTGCCCAGAATGGTAACCTATGTTTATAATCCCAGCACTTCAGGAGGTGGGAGACTGAGGCAGAGGGATCACAAGTTTGACCCCAGTCTGGGCAACTTAGTGACTTACAAGACCCTGTCTCCAAATAAGAAAATAAAAAGAGGGGCTGGGGATTTAGCTCAGTGGTTTTGCCACCTGCTGCGCAAGCGCAAGGACCCGAGTTTGATCCCCGGTACCAAAGAAAAAAAAAAAAAAGAAAAGAAAAAGGGCTGGGGATGTAGCTCAGTGTGAAGGTCCTGATTGTAATCCCCTGGCCACAAACAAACAGCTTGTGCAGGTATTACTGATATGTGGCTGAGCTTGAGAACCACAGTTGGGGTGTTTCTTCCTTCCTCTGGAAAACTTGCCCTCGCCCCCCACTCCTGGATTCTGTGCCATTTGTTTCTGCTGTGGCATCAGCTCTAACTCTTGTCTTACTGCCTGGACCTCACTGTGCACCCCCTCAGGTTTCTGCTGTGCTAGAGGGAAGTGTCCTAGGAGTCATGGCGTATCTGCCGGTTCCCCTCGGTGATTACTAGGCAAATAGTAGGCTCTTGGTGAGATTTGCAAGCAGATGGTAGGGAGATACTTGGACTGGACTTTGTGGTCATTTGAAGGCAGAGAAGGTCCCCCACTGTCTGTGGGACAAAGGCCAGATTGCATGTCTGCCTTTGTTTCTCACCAACCTCCTCTCCCTCTCTGAACTGCTTCCCCCAGAGAGATGGGCTTCAAACTGCCCTTCCCTGTTCTGGTTCCATCTGAAGTTGCTTTGTTCCCTGTCTTCCTTGGGGAAGAATTTCCCCAACTCATGGGCCACCTTTGAACTCGTGAAAGTTGTGGGAAACCCTTATTCAATACTGTCTTAGTTACTTTTCTCATTGTTGAGACAAAATACCTGACACTCGAAGTTAAAGGAGGAAAGCTTTATTTAGCTCATAGTCTTTAGAGGTTTCAGTTCATAGTTAGCTGGCTCCAAGGCAGGGTGATATGGCACGGGGCATCACAGAGAAGAAACAGCTCATAGAAGGCAGAAGGCAGCAAGCTAGCAACAAGCAATGGCCCTCTTTCTGTCTCTTGTATTTTATCCAGGCTGCCTGCCCGTAGACTGGGTAGTACTCACACCCTTAAATCTAGCATTGCACTGTGAATCAGTCCCATCCTCATGTCCTTGATCCCAGCCCCACGTAGGACCACATGAAGCTTTGGGGGGACATCTAGATACAAGCCATAACACTTAGTCCAGCACACACTATGAGCATGCCTTCGAAAGCATCTATTGGCACACCTCGTATAAGAAATAATTTTTAGGGCCAGGGATTTAGCTCAGTGGCACTGTGCCTGCCTCGAAAGCACAAGGTCCTGAGTTTGATCCCTGGTACAAAAAAAATAAAATAAAATAAAAAATTTTGTGAATTTCTTTAGGAGACTCTTTACCTTTGACTGAAAATTAAAGCCTTATTTATAAGAAGAATAGTGACATGAAATTGATACCTTTTAAACAAAGATTCTTATTTGTGTGTTTTGGGTTACCTTTATTGAGGTGTGATTCACATACAGGGAAGCTGTCATTTGCCTCTGTGCATTCTGCTCTGAGTTGTTTGATCACAATTTCCCAGCTGGATTTCAGGCTATATGTGATCTAGGGGCTAGGCTGTCACAGTTGCTTCCAGCTGTGGCTTCAAGGGCAACCCCAGAGCTACCATGGACTGTGATACTGCTGGGACTACAACTGACCTTGTGAGCTTTGAAAGCCTAGAGATTCACAAGGAATCTTACCAATAATGGAGGACACTAGGTAGATGGTTTTTGTAACCCTGGATGTGTGAGGACCTCTTGCTGCCTTTTTCCATCCACCAGAGTGCAGTGTTCTACTTTGCCTAAAAGTCAGCCCCTCTTTGAGGTCTTCCCTTTCTAATCCTAGCATTTTACCTCCTAAAGTGACCCCAAAGAGGTGTTTCTCAAAATTTTTACTACTAGAAACACATCTTACATTGCAACCCAGGGGAGAGGTGCATACACACATAACTCTACACACAAGTACAGCACATATGACAAAAGTTTCATAAAGTAATACTTTGCTATGGGCAGTATGCTCTGATATTTTCTGTTCTTTTGTTTTAAAAAGGTGCTGATTGCCACCCAGTTGAGTTCATCAGTCACAAATGGAATTGTGGCCTATAATTTGAAATGTTGCCTAAAGTTCCCTTCGTCCTGCACCCTGGATAGTTGTAGGTGGAATGTGCGTTGTATTCCCGAGCACCATGAACAGTACACTGGGATATAGTTTCAGCCTCTGTGTGGCTAGCTGGTGGTGGCCTCTGGGAGCTAAGCCCTGTGATATCCTCCCGGATTCTCTCCTATGCCGTGACCTGGGTGCACTCCGTGTCCCTGGTGTAGCAGTGGTCTGACAGCCCAGAAACCAAGTGTTAACCCTGTCATCACATTATGTTGCCACTGTTATTATTACTATTATTATTATTATTATTATTATTATCATCCTGCCATTGTTGCAGGATCTGCTTCTGAAATGGAGAAGGTGGAAGTGCTCATGGGATCCTCTCTTTGGTCTGTAGAATGCCTCCCAGAGGATGTTTGAGATCGACTACAACAGGGACTGCTTCCTCAAGGATGGCCAGCCATTCCGCTACATCTCAGGAAGCATTCACTACTCCCGGGTGCCCCGCTTCTACTGGGCAGACCGGCTGCTGAAGATGAAGATGGCCGGGCTGAACGCCATCCAGACGTAAGTAGAAGGCCAGCTGACTCTCACCTGGGCCTGAACCCCCACACCTGGAGGAGTTGCAGCTGCACTTCTCAGAGCAGCTGCTTCCTTAGTCAGAAATGGGACATAGTCCAGTGTGGTCTCCTGGGAGGGCTTGTCATGAGCTTGACTGGCCCCTCTTCAAAAAATTAACTACTTCTTCCAGACCTGCACTTTATCACCAGAGATCATAAAATAAATATCAGCTTCAAAAGGCAAAGGCAATGATGATAAGCACTTAGCAGTTGTGGGGCGCTTTACACCAATGATTCCATCTCTCTAAGGTGGGCATTTCCATTCCCATTTATAGCCAGTGAAACTGAAGTTTGCCCAAGGGTGTATCTTTGGTCAGAGGCCCAGCTAGGATTTGAACATAAGGTTATTGTAGGTACCCATAGCTTCTCTTAGCTCCTAGGGGAGCAAGCCTTGTGCTTAGGTAGATTCCTGAAGCTATTTGTTAGCTTGGTTCTGCTGGGGTAATTAGACAGGCCCAGGCTATAGAATTTCCCCCTACTTATTTCTCCCCCTCTCCTGCTGTTGCACAGTGACTAACTGGGAAGAAGTTTGGTATGACTGGCCACTCTGGTTTTTGCAGTGCTGATGTGGATTGCTGATAACCTTTTAAAGATAAAGGACGAGAAAATCTTTAGTCAGTTTAGAAGATAGTTGGGGAGAGTCCCATTCATTATTCTTGTTCTAAGGTCACTGGCAAAGTGAACCCAGTGTCACCTGTTACTAATTTCCTCACACAGTTGTGATAGACCAAGGTTGTCTGTTCCAAGGAACCCTGAAGTCATGGGATTATGGAAGAAATAAAAAACATAAGAGAGGTCATCAAGGAAACTGTGATAGGAATAGGTGGCCTCATATTTAAATTTGTATCCCATGCAATAGGTAGATGGGGAGCTGGTAAGAGCTTGGGTCATTTTACTTCCTGCTATGCTATTGCTGACAAAATCTTTTGTATAGGGGTTGGAGGGTTTCCTACCCTCTGCCCCGTGCTGGTTATCGAACACAAGAGTGCTATACTACTGAGCTGCATCCTCAGCCCCTCTTTTTGTGAGACATGATCACCCTGAATTGCCCAGCCTAGACTGTAACTTTTTTTTTCCAGTAAGTTTATTGGTACATTTTAGGTATACAATACAGTTACATTCATTGTTGGGATCTTGTACCTTTACATGATGTATCTTGGTTCTTATTTTTTCCCCATTCCCCTGCTCTCCCTTCACCCCCTCCACCCCTCCCTATTTGCAAAGACTTTGTTTCCATTTTTCCTTTTCTCATATTTTTTCTTTTCCCTACCCCTCCCACTTCCCTTACTCCTTTAGACCTTTTCTTCCTATTTCATAGTATCAGTTATACATTTTGATCCTTATTTACACTTTTAGTTTTTCACACCAGAGAAACTATTCGGTATTTACACGTGTTAGACTGTAACTTTTTTTTTTTGGTACCAGGGATCAAACTTGGGACCTTGTATCTACGAGGCAGGCATTGGAACCACTGAGCTAAATCCCCAGCCTAGACTGTAACTTTTGACTCTCCTGGCTCAGCGAGTGTGTGTGTTTGCGTGTAGAAAAGTTAATGAGAAGGCCGGGGATTTAGCTCAGTAGTTTCGCTGCCTGCTGCGCAAGCACGAGGACCTGAGTTCGATTCCCGGTACAAAAAAAAAAAAGAAGAAAAAAAGAACACCAACATTTGGGCTGGGGATTTAGCTCAGTGGTTCCGCCACCTGCCACAGTATGCACCACCACACCTGGCAAAGTTTATTTTTCAAAAAATAAGTATACTTGTGGTGCTGAGGAGGTACCTCAGTGATAGAACACTTGCCTAGCATATGAGAAGCTCTGGGTTCAATCCTCAGCGCCACGGGGGGAAAAGTATACTTCTAACTATTTTAACAAGATATTTTCATTTTTCCTAGGCCTCACATAGGCAAATATAAATTTATTTATTTATTTATTTTTGGCACCGGGGATTGAACTCAGATCCTTGTGCTTTCGAGGCAGGCAGTGGAACCACTGAGCTAAATCCCCAGCCTGGCATGTATAATTTTATATAAGAATGTGTTTGTGTAATTCTGGTTTATTTATTGTATTTAAAGTTGTATTATGTTGAAAAAAATTTTTTTCTTTCTTCCAATCTCTGTAAAGCTTGTTTTTTTTTTCCTTTGGTACCATGGATCGAACTCCAGACCTTGTACTTTTGAGGCGGATGGCAACACCACTGAGCTAAATGCCCGGCCCTCTGTAAAACTTGTTTTAATAAGAAGACGGGAGGTGTAACTTAGACGTAAAGTCTATGCTTAGCATGCATAAGGCCCTGGGATGACTCCCTACCACAAAAAATAAATTTCAATAATTTTTTTGGGGGGGGTACTGGGAATCGAACACAGAGCCTCCTGCTTACCAAGTAAGCACTGTGCTGCTGAGCTACATCTCCCCCCTCAATAAATTTTCTGACTTGTATTTCTCTCTCTTTTGAGGTAATGGGAATTGAACCTAGGGCTTCATGCATGCTAGGCAAGCGCTGTACCCCTAAGTTACATCCTAACCCTTTTAAATTTTATTTTGAGACAAGCTATTGCTAAATTGCCAAGCTGGCCTTGAACTTGAAATCATCCTGCCTCAGCCTCCTGAGTAGCTGGGATTATAGGAGTGGGCCACTATGCCTGGCAGAGAGAATATATTTTTCTTTTTAAAGTTAAGTGTTAAATGGGAACCGGCTTTTTTTGTGGGCCATAAACTTATAAGTGTCCTAGTAAAGGTTGGTTTGCTTGGATACCTGCTGTCAAAACACAAAGGGGGAACCAGGGATTTAGCTCAGTGGTGCCGATGCCTGCCTCGCATAGCACAAAGTCCTAAGTTCGATCCCTGGTACAAAAAAAAAAACCCACAAAGAAGGGCCTCTTCCCAGGAGCCACCAGAGGGGAATGGCTCTGGGTCCTGAGTTTTCAGCTCTGCAGGCAGTTCAGAATTCCTCTGGGAGATCTGCATGTATGAGCTGCTTTCCTTTACTTTCCACAGACTGGGTATTTTTATTATTGTTTGTTTGTTTGTTTGTTTGTTTCCTGAGACAAGGTCTTACTCTGCAGTTCAGGCTGTCCTTGAATTCATTATGTAGTCCAGGCTGGGCTCGAACTTGCAGTAGTCTTCCTGCCTCAGCCTCTTGAGTGCTGGGATTGCAGGTATGCACCACCTATCCTGGTTCTTTACACAAAGTATGACTATGAAAAGATAAAAACATGATTTTCAAATAGTGAACATGTGTCAAAAACGTACTTACCTTATGGCGAGGCTGTTGCTCAGAGGTAGATCACTTGCTTAACAAGGCCCAGGGTTCAAAGACAAAAACAAATTAGTTAACTCATGACTAGGGAACTAGCCAGATGCTAAAGCTGAATCAAAAGACAATTTGTTGTTATTTTGTTTTTAGGTATCAGGGATTGAACTTGGGACCTTGCACTTGCATGGCAGGCGCCAGAATCACTGAGCTAAATCCCCGGCCCTCAAGAGAATTTAAGGAAGAGAGGTTTATAGTTACACAAGAAAGCCATGTTGAAATAAATTTGTCTTGAGAAGTAAAACTGGTCAGTATCATAAAGGGCAATCAGTAACTTCTGGAGTTATTGTCTCTATATGACAACAATCATTTGTATTCATATTTGTACTGGCGAAAAAAAATCTACAAATTAATCTGTAACTTTAAAATCTTTCCAGGCAGGCATGACAGTGTGTGCCGTTAATCCCAGCACTCAGGAGGTAGAGGCAGGAGGATTACTGCGAATTTGAAGCCAGCCTGGGCTGCATCATGAGTTCAAGGCCAGCCTGATCTACATAGTGAGACCCTGTCTCAAAAAAAACCCCTAAAACAAGTCTTTCCTGTAAGCAATATAAATAGTTAAACAAAATACTTTCCCCAGAGAAGGATGAAGCCTTGTGGAAAATCTCCAGTGTAACAGGGAGAGGAAATTCTTATCACTGGGACAAAATATCCAATCCCCACAACCTAAAGGAGGAGAGGTTTATTTTGGGTCACAGTTTAGTCCATGGCTGACCAGCTTTGAGGCAGAACAGGATGGCCAAGGGGCACAGCGGAGGGAAGCTGCTCACATCATGGTGGCTAGGAAGCAGAGAAAAGGGAGGAGCTAGGAAAGAGAGCCACCGTTCCAGCTCACACTCTAGTGACCACCTCTTTTGATGAAACCAGGCCTGACTCCTAACAGCACTGTTAGCTGTAGCACCCATGCCCACGATCCAACTGCCATCCATACACAGGAGAATTTAGGGGGACATTCCAGGTCGAAGCAGTGAAAGAACTGTAGTCATCTTTTTGCTTTATTTCCAAGTTCTGGATAACTTTTCTTAATGCCCTCCCAACTCTTCTTCACCCTCTTGTCCATGGGTGAGCTATAGTCCCAAGAAGGCCCCTTCCTCCCACCTCTCCTGCTTCCCCACTCTGCCAGTGTCCAGGAATGGCCTCTGTGTGTCTTGGCAGGTATGTGCCCTGGAACTTCCATGAGCCCCAACCAGGACACTATGAGTTTTCTGAGGACCGTGATGTGGAGTATTTCCTGCTGCTTGCTCATAAGCTGGGACTGCTGGTCATCCTGAGGCCTGGACCCTACATCTGTGCCGAGTGGGACATGGTGAGTGTGGCTCCACCAGGCTCTGCCTGCCTGGCGAGCATGAGCAGGGCTGGGCTGGCAGCGCAGGGTCTGGGGCAAAGTGAGTTAAAGCTGTTTAACACTCAATCTTGCTGACCTGGCCTGTGGCCACACCCAGCTCAGGTATCTGTTACTTAGCAAGGTGGCCAAGCAGGGAGGAACAGCCGTGCCATGGCATGGACTCTCCTCTTGTAGTCACCCACCAAACTCAGTTTCCCTGACTCACATGCAACTGCTGGTGTCTGCTCTGTCCACCTCATAGAGTTGTTGTGAAATTAAATGGAATAATGTGTATGAAAAGGATCTTGATTTCAAAACATTGCATTAACAGAATGATCTTAATTTTACTACATTCCAATTTCCCTAAAAGTTACTAACCAGAAACCCAGCTTAAGTGCCGCTTCTCCTGAAGCTTTTCTGCTTTTCCATCACCACTAACAGTAATCGCTGTCTCCTCTAAACTCCTTCATGAAATGGACATTATAATTTCTCCCCCTTTTTCCCCTTGTCCTAGGGGGGATTACCTGCTTGGTTATTAGAGAAACAATCTATTGTTCTTCGCTCTTCTGACCCAGGTAAGTTGTTAGAGATGTCTTGAGAGACTTTATAAAAGAGTATTTATATTAAAAGGGTCAGGTATTTTGAAGACTGAGATACTTGTGCACAAGTACTTCTGAAAGTTAGTGAAAGTTTGAGTGTTAATTACCATTCATGACATTATACCAGATATTGAGCACATAGGAAATAGGTTTTCTTGAACTACTTGACCAGATCTTGCCGATAAACTGGTAACTCTCTGGTTTGGCATTGAACCTTGATTGTGGTTGACCAACTAACTTCAATGCCTGCTTTCTTTTCTGCATGGTTAGTGTGTTACACAGCCAGTGATTGTATCTGGTCATCAAAATGGCAGACTTAGTTCCTGCAGAGGTGGCACTGGGTTGTGTGATAGTTACAGTGTCTTCTGTTTCTTTATCTACCCTTACAGAGTGATACTTCAATGATACTGTTCTTCTGTGTCTTTTAAACCAGGAGAGATTATTTTAGCTATAAGCCTTGAACACTCAGAAGATCTCCTTTAGCTGAATTTCTATTTCCTGAAGACTAATTTCTTGGGGATGGTGGAGACAGTGGAGGTGGAGGTGGTTGACAGAGGTTCTTAACAGCAGCAGCTAACACAGATTAAGTTTGGCTTGTAAAAAGCTGATGATTATATGTGTATTTTCCTCTTACTGATCACTCTTTGTTTAGCATTAGTGTATTAATATGTATTGTTTAACATTTGTATATTATTGTTGTTTTCGCCTGTATTCTCATTAATTCTCGTGGCAACTTTATGAAGCATGTACTTTTCTTACCCATTTTTGATAATATAAACATATAATTTATGAGGATTTACTTTTAGAAGAAAAAGTGACTTATTTTGTTTGAGAGGACAACATAGCATTCGGTCTCCCTTCTTGTTCAGTAAACATTGCCTGTCTGTGTCCTGAGCACCTGGCTTTGTGTCCATGCCAAGGACAGATGCCAGCAGTATTGTGCCTTGCCCACTGAGAAGCTCAGCTGAGGAGACCCTAGCCTGCAGGGCAATATTTATCAGACTTTTTTTCCCCTTTAGTACTGGGGACTAAACTCAGGGATTTCTCACTGAGCTACATTCCCAGGCCTATTTTATTTTTTATTTTGAGACTGGCTCTTGCTAAGTTGCAAAGTTGTCTGGGCTGGGCTCAAACTTGTGATTCTTTTGCCTCAGCCTTCCAGAGTGCTGAGATTACAGGTGTTCACCACAACGCCAAGCCAAATTTTCTTATGTATAGCTGCCCCATTGTAGAAGACAGTTGAGTGCTGGCAGCTTTTGTATAATAAGACTCCACTGGTGTCTCTATGTACTAAATGGTGTGTGATGATGTTTCATGATGTAAAACCTGGCTTATTTTCCAGATTACCTTGCCGCTGTGGATAAGTGGCTGGGAATCCTTCTGCCCAAGATGAAGCCTCTTCTCTATGAAAATGGAGGGCCAATTATAACCGTGCAGGTAACTGGAGTTGAGTGTGCATGGTCAAGAAGGTTTCTATCTTTGTTATGTAGGTGACAGGTATGACGCAGAAATGGGCTTCCTTGGGCTATTACTGGAAGGTGCAGTGCTGCAGATGGTGATTTTACCTAAATTCCATTTTTGGAAGGCATTAGTTTTTTTTTTTTTTTAAGAGATGAGCATTGTCTGTGTTGCCCAGGCGGGCCCCAAATCCTGGGTTCAGACCATTCTGCTGCCTCAGTCTCCCAAATAGCTGGGGCTGCAGGCACATGCCACCATTCCTGGCTATTGCATTTCCATTTTTGAATGCCTGCCGTATATTAACTCTGTCCTGGGTTCCCTGCAAATGCGGTGTGGTTCTTCCAACCACACTGTCTTTTAAAATGAAGAACCTTGAAAAGGTTAAGTAGCTTGGCCAAAGTCGCCCAGCTGGCAGGTGGCAGCATCAAGATTGCACCCCATTTCTGCTGGGGTGTGCCTCTTTCTGCATGCTGTGTTGCCTTTTGGCTGCAGGGAGGTAAAGTGGGCTGAAATGCTTTGTATCTGCACTGCTCAGGCAGGCAGTTACTCCTGGAATAGAAAGAGGATGTGGTGAATTGGGGCTTTCTCTCCTACTTCCTGTCTCCTCTTTCCTTCCATGTGTTTTGGCTCTGTAAAGATTGGTATCGTGGAGTGCATTTATTATCCATGTGAAAAGCCGGGACACTTGTCTTCAACAATTTTTGGTGTTTGTAAAATTACATAGGAGAAACATAAAAGCTTGTTCATTGGACATTATGCCAAGGATGTTTTTATTGAAATGGATAAAGTTAACAAAAACTGGCTCCATCCTAGGACATCCCGGGAATGAAGTGGGGCCCTCCCTAAGGGAGCACAGGCCAGGTTTCCTTCTTGTGGACAGTGCTGTGGACCGTTTGTGGGGAGGTCATTGCCCCTTGGGTATAGGTGGAATGAGAGGGAGAGGGCCAGATCTGCACTGTGAGCCTAGGGTGGAAGGAGATGTCCCCTGGAGTGGAGCTGGCTGACTGCTCACAGGGAAATGTAGATGAAGTCTGTGTTGTATTCATCTGGGGTCCGTACTGGTTAAGCGGAGGGAGCCACATCTTCTGTATGAAGGTAGTAAGTTTGACTCTTGGACATGTCTGCACTCCACTCCTTTTTGTCTCAGGTGAAAACCTCATTTTTTTCTTTCATTTTTTTTGGTACTCAGGATCAAACCCAGGGCTTTACACATATGAGGGTGCTTCCCCAGCCTGAAACCCCAGTTTTAGCTGCCCTTTTTCCTACTTCTTGAGTCACTTTCAGTGTGTGCTCACAGCTTTCCTGTGGCTAGGGAAACTACACACACACACACACACACACACACACACACGTGTTATGACGTTGTCAAATATGAACCCTGCAGAGGACTAACGAGGACCGTCTTGAGGGCATGTCTTCTCCTGTCCGTCCTGGACCTCAGATGACTTTACCCTCGCTGTGGATCCTGCCAGGCGATTCTGCCGTCCTCCATATGTCCACCCCACCTGATCACTTTTCCCTTTGTTTACTAAATCAACAAGTATAGAAAATAAAAGAAAGTAGAAAAAAAAACCCCAACTCACTCAAACTTCAGGAGCCTGTTGCAAAACTCTTCCCATTTGAGGAGTTTCTTTGAAAAATTTTCTGTGCCCTTTTTTTTCTTTCTTAGTAAGTTTATACTGCGTGACCAATTTCTAGTGTGGGTTTTTTCACTTCATTCCTCTGTCAAGGGCATTTTTCATATCAGTAGAAGTTCTTTGTGCATCATTTTTTTTGGGGGGGGTACCAGGGTTCGAACTTGGGACTTTGCGCTTGCGAGGCAGGCGCTGGAACCACTGAGCTAAATCCCCAGCCCCATGCATCATATTTTATGGCTGTCCTGCTTGTCTCTGGAAACGCAGTTTACACCACACTCCCTCTGTCCAGACACCGTCCCCGTGACTGACTTGGCTCTGCAGACTCTCAGAATCCCAGTGGGTGGCTCCCTTTGGGAAGAACATGTGGAAGTTAATCTTTTTTCTCTGACCAGTGCCTCCAAGCTCTTGAGATCACGTCAGCCTGGCAGCCAAGAGGTCACACATACATGAGTACATATCACACTCTCACCACATGGTTCTGAAGTTGAGTAGAGGCGACTGAGTTGGTTAAGAAAGAACCAGAGAAGCTGGATGTGGTGACTCACTCCTATAATCCCAGCACTTGGGAGGCTGAGGCAAGAGGATTGCCATGAGATTGAGGCCAGGTTGGGCTACCTAGTGACTTCAAGGCCAAGCTGAACTACATGACCCTGTCTCAAAAAAAAGAAAAAAGAAGCAGAGGATTGGGGGGAGATGGTGTTTCTGTATATAAAGATTCCTGTGCAAGCAGGTTTCTATCTCTGTCTTAATCCACGTCAGGAGGCAGAAAAGGATACCTAGCTCATGGAGTTGGTGTTTCCTCTGGGTGCCCAGGGCATCTGAGGAGGTTCCAAGGAGCTCTGCCTCTTTAGTCCAGGTGAAAGCCACTCAGTCCAGAAGCCTCGCATCCTTGTCTGAGGATATGTTGTTTTCCAGATGCAAGAAGCGAGACTGGCTCCTTTATTTGTCTTTATGATGTAGTTAGATGCGGCAGTGTTTCTTTTCTGGAGGGATTAGCCAAGCCAGTGCTACCCACAGTGGTGTGCACAAGGAGATGTTATCTCAGTTTGTACCAAAAATTAGTAATGCCACAAACAACACCTATTGATAACACCCAAGGTGAGAATTAGTTCCACCTGCAGCTTTACTTTGTCCAGTTAGTGAAGTATTCATTATGAGGTAAGGAGCCTCAGAAGAGCACTGTGGAAGTCTGCATGTGTAGGAGTAACCAGATAACTGATCACGACAAAGACCTGCAGACTGCGACTCATGGACCTGGACTGACCTGCTACTTATTTTTATCAATAAAGACGTATTGGAACATGGCCACTCCATTTGTTTGTATATCACTTAGCACTGCTTTGCAGTAACAGTACCCAGTTTAAGTAGCTGAGACAGATTCCCAAAAGTGGTGGTCCTGAAGCATAGATTAGTTACCAGCTGGCCCTTTTTGAAAAAGTTTGTTAATCTGTTCTAGGAAAATCAGATTCCTCTGAATCCGAATCTCACTGTGACTTTTTCTGTGGGTCTTGCAAGCCCACATTTCCATTTGTGTTTCCATATTTTCCATTTGTGTGTCATTTCCCTACCCTCACCCGGTCTTCACACATCTTGGGGTTTTTTTTTCCTTCTCTAATTGGCAAAGATACAAGACTTGAGCATTGTCCTCCTGTTAGCTTTCCAAGTGCTTAGTAGAAGTGGGTACTGTACAACAGTGTTCGTGTATCAATTCAGCCCTCATAATAGCCCAGTGAAGTAGGCACTGTTAGCGTCTTACACATGAGAAAACATTTTACAGGTGAAGTTGCATGGATAGGAAGTGGCAGAGCTCAGATTTGCATGTGGACAATTGGGGCCTCTGACCCTAAGCTGTTTTGCAAATGTATCTTCTCTCTCCTTTGCTCTCTCTCCCCATTTTCCTCCTCTCCCTTCTCCCTCTCTATCTCTTTCTCCCCCTCCTTCTACTCCCGCTGGTGCTCCCTCTCCCCAGCCTATCCAGGGATTAGGGGTGCAGCTAGGGGTAGAGCGGTGCTCTGCATGTATGAGGCCCTGGGTTCAGTTCCCAGAGCCAAAAATAAAAACAAATTGGACAAAAATTTAAAAACCTAACAAAATTATGTGTATCCATGTATTATAAGCCTGTTTATTTTAAGGTATAGAGTACAATGACAATAATAGATGAGTAAGGCTTGAAAAAAAGTGAGATTATGGGAAGAAAATCAGGGTTGGGTTGGGTTCGGTTGGGATATGAGGATGGGCAGAAAAGAGCCCCAGTGCGGAGGCTATGAGCTCACCTAGCTGCTAGAATTGATCCTTAAAGTCAGCTCTGACCTCGGCAGCCAGTGACAAAGGGAGACACAGTGATTTAAGTAACTCTTATGAAAAGATGGAGAAAAGAACCTTGCTAGTATTTGCAAAGCTTTTCTTAACACTGAACTCAATTATTTCGAAAGGAATATTCATGGCACTTATCAAAGTATCAGAGAAAATCAGCCAAGGGATTTTCTACTCCCTGTGAACAGCCAATAGCTCCTCTTTCAGGATGGCTTTGTGGCCACCAAAGAGCATGGTACTGGGGATGTTTGCTATAGTCTGTTCTGTGTCTTGAACTTATGAAAGTATTGCTGAAGTGCTTTCTGAGAAAATGGTCATTCATAAAGCCATCTGGGAGGCAGGACTGTGCAGATAATAATGACAATGGCAGGGGCCGGGAATTTAGCTCAGTGGTTCTGCCACTTGCCTTGCAAGCGCAAGGACCAAGGTATGATCCCTGGTACCCCCCCCTCAACAAATGACAATGGCTGTGTTAGCCAACTTTCTATCATTGTGACAAAATGCCTGTGAAAATCAGCTTACAAGGAGGAAAGACATTTTGGCTTGCAGTTTGAGAACTTTCAGTCGGCTGCTTTGGGCCCATGGTGGGCACAGTACAGTGGGTGGGAGCAGGTGGAGGAGCCTGTGTACTTCCTGATGGCTGGAAGAGAGAGAGGAGGGCGCTGGGGGCTCAGTCTCTCCTTCAGGGTCATATCCCTGATGACCTAACTTCAGCAGCGTCACAGGCTGGCCCAAGCCTTTAACATATGGACTTTTGGGCAACATTTCAAGTCCAAGTGATAACAATGGCATTTAGTTCCTTTTCATCATTCACCATTCATATCCCGACCCTCTAGCTGTGCTCATGGGCCCAACCCCTTTCCCCTTCCCCAGCTAGGTGCTGTCTTTCCAAAACGACCTCAGTCTCGGCCTCGGAAGGAGAAGCTTTCTTTTTTTTCTTTTTTTTTTTTTTTGAAGTTTTTTTTTTGTTAAATTGTTTT